TTTTATCCAGGAAGCCATTGTGAAAATGCATAGCTTAACTAGGAGTGTTGAGTTTGGGTCTCTGTCACTTATTGGCTTGTGGCCTGAGTAATACACATTGTGACATACCTCCCTCCCCTCCATCTGCTACTGAGCCTCAGTTTCTTTATCTCCCTTATGGGCCGAATAAAAGAAGGTGAGCTACTTGGACATTTTTGTGGTCAATTCTTAACACAACATTACTTCATTACCAACTCTTTCCACTCCCAATTGTCTTTAAGAGCACTTTGAAAATCAATAAATGCCACTAGGAGGCAGCATTCGCACACAAAGAGATAGTTACACCCTCATAGCAGGGCATACTTTCATACACACAGACGCACATACCCCATGCAAACATAACACCTTCACACACATACAGGCACATGTACACATGCCCACACACTCTCACAAATACGCAACACACATGTACACACACAAACAACAAACATGCTCACATATAGGCACACCAATCACATATCTTCTCATAGACACACACACACACATACATACTTATACCCGGAGATATTGTCTTCACTTTTTTTTTTTTTTTTTTTTTTAATATTTTATTCAGGGTTCAAGGAGGGAAATGATCTCAGGCACAGTAGATAAGAAATGTAATGAAATAGATACTGAGTTTAGGAGCTCAAGAATGAAACTCTATATATGTCTTAGAAATTAGAGAACTCATTTCTTATGCTATAAGATACTATTAGATGTACGTGATACCATGAGACAAATGCCACAACCTGGCCACCTTTGCACTTAGAACTCCTCATCCTGCGATAATCCAAGAGATAAAAAAGCTACTGACTAGAAACTACCCCCAGAGATTTAATTGTTGTGGAAGAAAGACCCACCCGCCATATGCAGTTACTGAGTTCATTGGGCCTGCCTTCAAATCAATTCTTACTTATGGTGACCCTGTATAGAATTTCTGAGGCTGTAAATCTTTGTAGGAGTAGACAACCTCATCTTTCTCCTGTTAAGCAACTGGTGTATTTGACCTGCTGACCTTGTGGTTGTCAAGTCCAGTGTTTATCCTACAGCACCACCAGGATTCCTTCATTAGGTCAGTGTTGTTGTTAAGAGTCGTCGAGTTGGTTCCAACTCACAGTGGCCCTGTATAATGATTCTGAGGAGTGGCTGGTAGGCTTGAACTGCTGACCTTGTGGTTCAAACCGACCTTGCGGTCCTGTGCTTCTCCTACAGTGCCAGCTAAGTTGTATTACATAAGATGGGAAGACTAAGTGCAGCAGTGCTAAAATGCAGACATTTAACTAGCTCTTTTGGTTGTAGTTCAGTGTCTCGGTAATGGGCTACTCTTCCTGGACCATCAGCTCTCAGGGGAGATTATTGCACTGTGACTAGGGAGGACACAACTAAAGTTTGGTGGCAGGCACCTGGTGACCCAGGAGTTTAAGAAGAAAAACATCTTGAAAAAAGAGTCAGTTTATGGGGCCAAATGAAACACATAATAATTTAATAGAGAATTGGGCAGTTTCTACTGATGGGCTTCTGTAATCCAAATTGCCTCTTCAGGTTGCAAAACTAGCATGCTTTTCATTATGCAAAAATATCATCAAATTAGAGTGACGAGTGCTTTAGCCTTAGCTCTCGGGTCTCCTGTGATTATTTTTCAGGGGTCCAAGCTCAGCCAGCATCCTGAAATGGCTTCCAAATAGCAAAATGCTGTAAAAAAGCATCCTCAACAAACTAGCTCCATTCTGGGAGCTTCTCTGTGAAACAAGCTTGGAAGTGGGGCGGTACCATGCCTTCTGAATAGGAGGCTAGGCTTTTGAGGTTTGGCAGTTTGAATTCTTGATGCTACCAAACATCAAATCTGTTTCTTGAATCTAAAAGTAATTCAGACTAACCTATTTTGTTCCAAAAGTTCTTTTTGTTTTATTGCTTTTACATGTTTAAAGTACTAAAATCTAAAAAAAATAAAATGACAAAAGGTTAACAATGATTAATTCTGAATAGTGAGGATATGAATGTGAGATGTTACTTGCTGCTTTTTTACATTTTAAAAAAATAAACAACTTTCCCCTTTGTGATAGTTAAGAGTTTGTGTCAATTTGACTGGGCCAGATTTCCCAGTAGCTTGGTACTTGAGATGTAGTTCCCTCCATGGTGAAATCTAAAGCAAGCATGGTTAATTCTATGATGATTGTCTATGAGCAAGCATAGCTAACTCTGTAATGATTGGTGATGAGCAGCCAATCAATTGAAAGGATGTTCCATTGGGGGTGTGGCCTGTTCCCAATATAATGGCAATATAGGAAAAGCTTGCTATCCCATAACTGATAGATCTAGTTATGCATCTGCATCATCTTTGAACCTCAGCCAGCATCCTGCTCTATTATTTGTCTGCTTGTCTCCTTCCTGGGCCCACCCACTGATCGATTTTGGTTCACCTGGCCCGGACTTGGGACTCCTGTCTGCTCATCAACCTGCTGTACCTGCTTGCCAATATTGGCTTAGCTGACCTGAACTTGGAACTCTCCCACCTCTACAGTTATGAGCCATTTCCTTGTTATAAACTTCCCTATATAAGGAGCTCTGGTAGCATAGTGGTTACGAATTGGGCTGCTAATCTCATGGTCAGCAGTTCGAAACTACCAGCTGTTCCGTGGGAGAAAGATGAAGCTTTCTGCTCCAGTAAAGATTCACAGCCTTGGAAACCCTGTACGGGGTCGCTATGAGTCGGAATCGACTCCACGGCACATAACAACAACAACATATATGTATATAAGTTTCACTGGTTTTGCTTCTCTAGAGAACTCAGCCTAAGACACCCACCTCCCCAAATAAAGTCCCTTTTTGAAATGTATGCAAGAAAATGTAATCAATACTCTTGCCAACTTTGTTGCTAGGTGTTGTTGAGTTGGTTCTGACTCCTAGCGACCTTTTGCACAACAGAATGAAGCACAATCCAGTCCTGAGCCAGCCTCACGCTCACTCCCACTTTGGAGCCCACTGTTGTAGCCACTGTGTCAACCCATCACAATCCTTCAGAGAAGAGAAGGCCATCTCCTCCCCTGCCCCTCTGTTTGGCCAAATTCTCGTTGTTGATGTTATTAAGTGCTGTTGAGCTAGTCCTGTATAGAGTTAGTGACCCTGTATAGTGACCCTGTATAGGGTTTCTGTAAAGCAGCTGGTGTGTTTGAACCACTGACCTTGCGGTTAGCAGTCCAGTGTTTATCCTACAGTGCCACACCAAGACTCCAAATTCTTGTTAGTTCTTAAAATTAAAGAAGTACTTCAAAAGAAACCTGCTTGCATAACTTAACTGCCACTGTGTAACACATCATCCCCAGACTTAAAAACATAAGACAATAAGGTTTACTATCTCATGTGGTCCTTTGGGTTCAGAATTTGGGGAAATGACTTAGCTGTAGCTTTCTGAAGTCTTGCCTAGGGTTGGAAGATCCACTTCTGAGGTGTCACATTTACATGACTGCACATTGGTGCCGACTATTGGCCTGAATCTTTAGTTCCTCAGCAAATGGGCTTTGCTATAGGGTTGCCATGGTATTTGCAATAACCTCATATGCATGTGAAAGCTGGACAGTGAATAAGGAAGACCATAGAAGAATTGATGCATTTGAGTTATGGTGTTGGAGGAGAATATTGAAAGTGCCATGTGCTTCTAAAAGAACCAATAGATCCATTTTGGAAGAAGTGCAGCCAGAGTGCTCCTTTGAGGCCAAGATGGACAAACTCCATCTCTCATATTTTGGACCAATTGTCAGGAGGGACCGGTCGCTGAAGAAGGATATCATGTTTGGTAAGGTGGAGGGTCAGAGGAAAAGTGGAAGACCCCCAATGAGATGGATTGGCCAAGTAGCAGCATCAATGGACTCAAGTGTGGCAACCATTGTGAGGTTGGCCCAGGATCGGACAGTGTTTCATTCTGCTGTGCATAAGGTCCCTATGAGTAGGTACCAACTCGATGGCACCTAATAATAACAACAATAGGGTTGCTTGAACATTCACACGGCATGGTAACTGGCTATGTGACCCAAGAAAAAACATGGCTAACCCTACAAAGTCTTTCATGACTTAGCCTTGGAAGTCACTCTACACATGACCTATTGATCATGAGAGCTATTGATTTCAGGAGCAACTCGATTCAATGTGGGAGGAGACTACACAAGGGCAAAAATACCTGGAAGTAAAACTCATTTGGGACTACTACACCATTCTAAGAGATAAACTAAGCTGCAAACAATCCCCCAAAGTTTATTACTGGTATTCTTTTTTTATTAAAATAATTCTGGTAAGCCACTTGAAAAGTCAGCATTGTAAACCCTATGCAGCACAGTTCTACTCTGACACACATGGATCACCATGACTTGGAATTGATCCAATGGTAACTGGTGGTGGTGATGTCACATCAGACCATAAGATATCTTGGACTCATTGAGCATAATGGAGGAGAAACACATTATGAATAAGGAGTTAGCCCCTTAGAGAGAACCTGGATAAAGAAACACCAATTTACCAAGTTCAAAGTCCAATATTCTTAACAGTAAATTTAAGGACTCCTGGCATGGCACTGTAGGATCAGCACTGGACTACAAACCACAAGGTCAGCAGCTCAAACCCACCAACTGCTCCTGGGAAACCCTATACAGGGTCGCTTTGAGTCAAAACTGGTTCAATGGCACTCAACAACAACAACATTTAAGGAGCCACAGCAGAGTCAATCATTTATGCTTGAGTCCTTTGTCAGTCATAGTATGACTTCTGTAAGAAGTATTAAAGACACACAGAATCATCTGTTGACTATTGAATTATTTCACTTCACTCACACTTTAAAATAGATTTAGATTTCTATTTTCTACTGAGCTCATCTAACACAATCTACTATGAACTATTTGATCACTCGCCTAAAACTGAAAAGGCTTCAGAAAAAGGAACCCTTGCTGAGGTGCATTAACTGAATAGTCATCGAATGTTGATATCATAAACATTCATGTATGGAACTTTTCTGTAGCTTTCACAGAAGCAAAGCTGTAGATGTCCAGTAAGTTGCCCCCTACCCTTTGTAATAAGGATTCATCTAAAAGCCAGAATTCATTACTAGCCACGATTTGACGCATATACTTTCTCTTTCTGTGAAATTAAAACCATACATTCACTGTGTGAAATCTCACAGTGTAGAATGCACTACAGTTACAATCTTTCAGTATAGATTGCAATACAGTTACAATATTTAATCATCCTAGGTGTTGGGTCCAACTATTTCTCTCTTCCTAAAATTTTCTAACCTAATTTTATAAAAATACTATATCTGTGTATTTTTGTTTTTATTTTACTATTTGTATTTTTGCTGTTTGTAGTTTTCTATTTCTATTTTTTGCTTATTTGGTTTGGGTGTTTATTTTTAATGTACATATCTATAGCTATGTTGTTGTGAAGTACCATCAAGTCACTTCTGACTCCTAGTGACCCTGTGTATATAGGGTTTCTGCAAACCTTGTGGTTCAAACTGACCTTGTGGTTCAATGCTTTATCCTACAGTGCCATACCAGGACTGTATCTACATTGATACTGATCTATACCTATATAACTATGTGATTGTTGTTGCTAAGTGACATCAAGTTGGTTCCGACCCATGGCAACTCTGCATAGGGTTCCCAAGGAGCAGCTGGTGAATTTGAACCGCCAATCTTATAGTTCAAACCGACTTTGCAGTCCCGTTCATTAACCCACAGCACCACACTAGAACTCCGTTGTGCATAACGGTCACTATGAATTAGTGCCATCGTGACAACACTAACAATAGTCTAGCACTTAACTCTTTATGCCACCAAGGGACCTTACGTGATACAAACACTAGTAGGATAATAGAATTGGTCTTTGTTATTGTTGGAACTACCCCGGCAGTTCTGACTCACAGTAACCCTATGTTTTACAGAGCAGAACTGCTCCATTGAGTTTGCTTGGTTGGAATCTTAATAGAACCATGTTTCTGCTGGATGGGTTTGAACCCCCAGGTTTTATGTTTACAGTCAAATGCAAACAATTTATGATGCCTAAAAACTTTTTGGAATTGTTAATAGAAGGACAAAAAAATGGGAGGAAAAAAAAAAGTATTTTCTGATTGTTTCTATTTTCCCAGTAAAATAAGGTGCAATGCTATCAAGTGCGAATGGGGAGAAGGAAGGTGGTTTGCAGAGAAACTGAGCAAAGAGGAGAAAGTATGAAACAGCCACCTCGGACAGCAAGAAAATGAGCAAAGCAGAGCAATAACATAGGATCGCCCTGCATGGCTGAGGGCTAGCATCCATGAATGCGAGGTGAAATCTAGCAGCGTAATTGTGAATTTTTGTTTGTGTTTTCTTTGCGGCATCAGTCAGCGATTCCAGTGTTGTTGTTGTTGTTAAGTGCCGTCGAGTCGATTCCGACCCATAGCGACCCTGTACAAGGTTTCCGAGGGTGTCAATCTTTACGGGAGTAGAAAGCCTCATCTTTCTCCCGCGGAGCTGCTGGTAGTTTCGAACTGCTGACCTTCAGGTTCACAGCCCGATTCGTAACCACTATGCTACCAGAATTCCAGTGTAGGCATTAGCAAAAGCAGATAGAGCTGACGCTGCACTTGCCAGTAAGCACTTGGAATAGGAAAAGCAAGGAAGCAAAGGAGCAGTGTCAACAATGGACCATGGGATCCTGGCTAAGGAAAGATGTAGCGGCCCAGATGGCACAAAGTTTAAGTGCTTGGCTGTGAACTGAAAGGCTGACAGTTCGAATCTACCCAACAGCTCTGCAGGAGAAACAACAACAGCAACGTGGCAGTCTGTTCCCATGGAGCTGACAGCTGTGAAGATTACAGCCTAGGAAACACAGAGGGAACGTTCTCAGCTGCCTTGGGTCACTGTGAGTCACAACAAGACCAAACTACAAGAAGGAAAACAAAAATCTGTAAACTTCCATGATTCAAATCCAATTCAATTGTTCTGGAATTCTGTGTTTGTTCCTTTATGAAAATGCTGCGCACACTTGAAGAGGCAGAAAGATAATCTGGGACTTGGAAATGGACATGTCTGGGCCATCTTTGGAGGTTCAGACCCAGCCTTTCCCCTTTGTAACAAGCACTCGGGTAAGACTCTTGTGGATCATTGTCTGAGAAAGACTGCTTTGCAGGTGTTTTAAGCGAAAGCCCTTGAGAGTTAACTAGTGGAAGGAGGAGGGGATCCGGGGTACCCAGAAGACTGTCTCCCCCTCCCATTTCACAGCTATCAGATGATGGTTTTACAAGCATTTGCGTCCCTTCACCAGGTTAACATAACTGCAGTGGCAGTGGCTGAATCAGTAAATCCTGCAACTTTATTTTTTCCGCTTTCATCAATATCCTTTGACCAAGACAGATACAAGTATAGCATTTTATCTAGCATCTTACGAATCGCTTTCACATGGCTTTACATCCGATGCATCGGTTTTCCAGAAAGCCAAAGAACTGTGCTCTGTTGGGGAAGAAGCAAATAAACATTCTAAGAGAAACCATCCTTTCATCAATGCGTTTTACAACTAAGCCGAATCAAATGCATCTTACAAATACGTGGAATAAATGTAATTATATGACTGGAACCATTTAGCACGAGACTTAAGTGATACAGGAAAGCATCAGCCGAATGTTTAAACATGCTTAAGTATTCATTTCCAATAAAGAAAATAAAGATTCTATATAACTGTGACAGTCAAGAGTAAAATGAAACCACACACACACACACTATACGCCTATATCTATTCTCCCATGCATTCATAGTTGTATCTGGATGAAGACTATAAGGAGGGAGAATCTAAGGAAATTCATCAAGACTCTGTGTTTGTTTATTTTTCAATTCTCTTCTAATAGCTTTTCTACTGATTTGTGCTCGACTTATTGTCCTTTATCAAATTCACTATTAAGCATCTCACCAGGACTCTGCTGTCTTTTGAACAATAACAGTTTCTTCCATGCATTTGTAACTATTTGTAACTATAATGCTAATAATGGATTGGTTGGGCACTTTTTTCATTTCAAGCATCTTATTTCTAATCAACTCTAGGAGGTGACTATGATTAACCAGTCATCATTCCCTTCTCTCCCTCTGGCCATCCACTTCCCAGACTCCTTTCTGCCATCTGTCCTCTCCTAGTCTGCAGACACAGGACTATCCATGTCCTTGGAACATTTCTAAACCTAGAGCCAACAATGACTTAAGTGTCTGATGATTCTTCCCTTCTAGTACAAAATGTGTTCAAACCCCAACCCTGAAACCTTAAAAGGTTGGCAACTGTAAATGCTGTTGTTGTTGTTGTTAAGTGCTATCGAGTCAGTTCCAGCTCATAGAAATCCTGTGTAGGATTTCTGAGGAGCTGACCTTGTGGTTCAAACTAAGTTGCACTCCAACGCATTAACCCACAGCACTGCACCAGGACTTTGTTTACATAAAATAAAGTATAATATCTTCTTCCTTAAATATGTTGCTCAAGCAAATACTTTGCTCTAATGGAGACTTTTTCTAAACTCTAAGAATTGCTGAAGAAAGGGAAAATGTTAGAAGATTTAGAGACCAGTTTCCATGGCCATAGTTACTTTGTAATTTGGGGTGAGTTTTTAATAATTTGGCATTAAAAGGTGATAAGAATCTCAAATATTATTCATTTAATTTGAAAATATAAAAGATCGAGTAATTCACCCCAACATTCTTTGACTGATACCACAACCACGTTTTAAGGAAAAGACTTAGAAAGAAAGATGTTTGTGTAACAGCTCACTGCTTCATCCAGCCGTTTCTCCCTTCTCCCACCCTTTTTTGAAAATCCAATGGCCAAATACATCTGATTCCTTCTAGTCATTGTACAACCACGTGCTAATGATGATGAAGGATAAATCGAAGTCCCAGGTGAACGTTGAAATGTTAGACTTACCCTTGAAGCATTTGGGGATTTCAATGGTGCCATCCACACACTGAGCATCCTCTGTGTAACTACACTTCTTTTCCTTATTTTTGCAGAAGAAGGAAACTTTTTCACCATGCAGCATTCCATTCTTAAATCTCTCTTGGAGCTTTACTTTCTCTCCTTGGAAAAGCACAGTGGCTTTTTTAACAGATAATTTACAAGATGCTGCAAGACAGAAGATGCGTAGTCAAGACTTAAGTGTTGAGTAAATCTTTCTTACAGAGAGCATAACATTGGAACCGAGAGATAAGTACACTTGGCAAAACAGATTAAGACAGGAGTTCAAGAATATACATAATGTGTTAGCAACATCAGTAGTAGTTTTGTGTTCATATAACCATTGGGAACCACTTGGGTGATGGATTTTCTTCCATCTGCAGCTACATAAGATCAGAGAAGAAGCTTCAAAATCCTGGAATCATGTAAAAGGAGCTTATACCAGAGGGTACCAATTCACATAAGCCTACAATGTCGCACCCAGAATCCATTGATTAAGTTGGTGCATCCATCCAGGCACTGTGAGTGTTGGTTGTTAACTGATTCACAAATACTCCTTAATCTGAAGAATTTCCTTCAGTCATAGGGGAGCTCCCTCTCTTTGGAGATTATGCAAGTCCCATCCACTTGAAGTGAAAGGGAGCACAGCCTATAGCCAATAACTATACAAAAGATCCCCTTGCCTCTTGATGATGTCAACTCTGGTGTATGTTTCATGCCCCAGAGCCCCCTGTGGGATCAGGCTGAAGCTAGACTCTAGCTGAGCCCCATCTCCAGTGTTTCTCAAATTGTAATGCTTGGGTCAGCAGTGTTGGCATCCCTTGGAAAGTTCATAGAACTGTAATTCTGAGGTCCCATTCCAGATCTACCTAATCAGAATCTCTGATGGTGGAGCCTACCATCTGTGCTTAAACAAGTCCTGTAGGTGATTCTGATGCACAATTATGTTTGAGCACGCAGGCCCTGGTGTCTCTCATCAACCTCACTCTCTTTTTCCCTGAGATACTTAATTAATCAACTGTACTTGAATCCGTATCATAGGCTCTGCTTCTAGGGACTCTGACTGAACACACTAGTTAGTAATTTGTCATCTTGCCTGATGTGCAAAAATTCCTCTTTCTGCTTCAACTGAGCAGTCACAGCAACTGAAGCAGAAATGTGGTTGCTCTTGGTCTAGGTGGTGATTGTTTGCATCACCATGACATTGACTGAATCAAGGATGGCCATCTGGCTCAAAAGAAACACAATCGCCGAGGAAGATAGCGCAGGATCCTTTAGCCAAGAAGTTCTGGTATAGAGTTAAGCACAGAGACACACAGAGACTATGATGCTACAGAGAGACGGCTTTCAGTTCAAATCCCCAAGAAAGCCAGTTGGACTTCATATCCGCATCTTTAATCTCCATGTGATTACCTGTTGCCTTTTTACAATAAGCCCCTTTTCTTTGAACTAGCTTGAATGTGGAGTTGCTTTTTACAATCAGAAGAACCTTATTGTATTTATAATACACATAAAAGAATACTCATAAGCAAAGAGTCAAGAAACAACTGTGGAGCGCTCATGTCATCTTCCACTATATTATCTTGCATACCAAGGTTCTGTTGATTTCATAAATCCGATGAAGCAAGTATCCTAAGCATGAAGTTTCTCAATCACGTGGTAATTCCAAAGTCTGTCACATGCTAAGATCAGTGAAACAAGAATGAGCAAAAAGTAGAAAATTATTGAAGCAAGAAAATGGCAGGTAAAGGTGATCCACTGGGTAGATGAAGATGTTAGAAGTCCTCACCCAAATTTCCTACCTTTACAACTTGGCTGAGCAGACCAGTTCCCATATTTGCCACATTCTACTTCTTCTGGTCCGTCCAGAACAAATGTGTCATGGCAACCATAATTGGCTTTATCCTTGTAGTAAAGTTGTGGATTTGCAGGGTACTTCACAAATCCATTGTCTGGTCTTGATGGAAATGGACACTTTACTTCTAAAAAGTGTATTCAGTAAGATGGATTAGTAAAAGACAGGTCGTGTTGTCTAGTGAAGGAGCCCGGGCGTCACAATGGGTAAACCACGGGGCTGCTAACTGTAAGATTGGGGCTTCAAACCCACTAAGTGCTCAGTGGGAGACAATGAGGCTGCCCACTCCCGTAGAGATTTATAGTCTCAGAAACCCTCTGGAGCAGAGCAGTTCGACTCTTTCCTGTAGGATGGCTACAAGTAGTTGCCCAGTGCTTGTGGAATAGTTACATTCTAATCTGTATTCCAAGGAGCTCTGGTAGCATAGTGGTTAGGAATCGGGCTGCGTACCGCAAGGTCAGCAGTTCTAAACTACCAGCTGTTCCTCAGGAGAAAGATGAGGCTTTCTGCTCCCGTAAAGATTTACAGCCTCAGAAACCCTGCACAGGGTTGCTATGAGTCGGAACCGACTCTACAGCACATAACAACAACAACAACAATCTGTATTCCACGACTGAATCACTAGGCATCCCAGTGACTGTTATAAACCTGCTGTGCCCATTTCTGGCATGCTCCACTCTTCCTCCCAGACCAAGTTCAAAGGCCACCACTTTTGTGAAGCTCTCCCAGACAGCCCCAGATATTGAATTGCATTCTACATAATTCTCGTAAAGTGAGAAGTCAGGTGTTATTCATCAATATCCCCATCACCTAATACACTAACTGGTACATGGTAGCTACTTAGTAAACATTTGTTGGATGAAGGAATTTGAAACATTCCGTGAGAGCAGAATTTTTTAAAATGGGATTCTAGAGTATCAGTTATTTTGTCTCATTTACCCCTGCATTCTGGTAGTACAGTCCAATTTCCATGTGTTGTACAGGTAATGGTGTCATTTCCAAACATGGCATGGTGTGGCAAGCATTGGAAGACTGCGGTGTCCCGATAGAGAGAGTGGTTTCCAACCGATGGCTTATAGTCTCTAAGTTTTGCGAATTTAGGTACGATTGGTGGAGGACAGGTTATAGCTGGAAAAAGAAAGGATTATTATGTCTGTGAAAATATTTGAGTTTTATAAACACATTTTCCAAGAAGAAGAAAAGATCAAAGATGAACTTGAGAAAATGCAAACTTTGGTTGAATGCTAGGATTAAAAACTGCCAAATAAGAAAATATGATTCTCAAAATCTAATGTCTGGAGCAATCAGAACAAAAAAACACTCCAAAATAAAATAAATGTAAGTCTTGCCACTACAAAACACCTTTACAATAACACAATGGCTGTGTTTCCATAAAATCTTTGATCCAAATGTTACCATGGAAAGTGTTTCTGGAAGTCAATTGGTGCAGGACATTGCAGAGCTACCATCAGGTAACTGTTGCTGGTGTCAGTCACTTGGTACAAGGTCATTAGTGACATCTAAGTAACTCTCCTGTCTGGAGCTTATCCAAGCATCTTTGAGGACATGAAGATGCCATAGTGGGTCAACATCCTGATGTGGCAAATATGAACTTGCAACCAATACTAACATAATAGATGATACTGCAGAGCGAAATGTGATTTATGTTGAATTACGTAGATCTTTCTACTGAAAGTGTGGTGCATGGGTGAGCAGCTTGGGAGCTTGTTGTTAGAAATGTTGAAGCTCAGACCTCACTCCAGACCTATTGGATTTAGAGTCTGCACTTTAACAAGATCCCCAGATAATTCATATATACATTAAATTCTGAGAAGCATTCATTTAGATTGTATTGAAGCTAACTTAGCCTTTCTGCTTGTAGCTTATAAAAAGTGAATTTACATAGTTGACATAAATCTGCATAAAAGAGCAAGTATTTTATAAAATCCATAGTGATTTCTCCTACTGAGTGAAAAAAAAAAGTGTGTCTTTAAGAAAACCTTCTTCTCTGTAGTTCAAGTTTTCTAAAACTAGTATTCATTGGAAATTGCTTTACTTTTCCACCTGCTTTTGCTAGGATGGATTGGCTAAAAGCCTAATGAATCATAACTATTTTTGCAATGCCTGAACCTTCTGGTCAAAGAGTGGGCTTTGAGAAATCACACATTAGGGAGCATGAGAGCATCCCTTCCTGTATTAGCAAAGCCCAGAGCTCACCCTGACTGTTCTCTAAGTTGTTGCCACCTTTAGAAGGAACCTCAACCTGCTTCTAGGGTGCAAGGCCCTGTAATGGACTCTTTCTGTACGCCAATGTTCTCTTCACCATACTGTGAAGGCTGCTTTCCTTGTCTTCCTCACCTCCTTGAGGGTGTGGCCAAGTGAACTTTGGTATTGCAGCCTGAGTTCTGAGAGTGGGATCTGGTACATATTAGGTGCTCAATATACATATTTATTGGCTAAATGAATGAATGGATGAAGGAGGTTCCAGGATGTCTGGAAGTTTCATCCCACTATTTCCAGAACTTCTCCTAGTCAAATGGTGGCAGAGACTGAAAGACCAACACAGCCATTCTCAAGCCCCTGCCAAACGCTTTGTGAGAGTTGGAGTTAACAAACCCAGGCACCACTGACTCCTCCAAATGGAGGATCTATTGATGAGTAGAAACACATCCTCTTCTGTCTTCAACGTGGCTATTTTATCCTCCAGAGCAGTATGGTAGTAGCAGGATAATCGTCTCATTGAGCCAACATGGAGGGGTCCCCCGAAACATGGCACTTTCAGTACTAAACCCAGGAAAGTTCCAGACTCATTGGGACAAGCTGGTCACCCTCCCTCAGAAGTGTTAGAAATGCAGATGCTCGGACTCACGAGCACAAACAGGAATCTCGTGGCTCCATCTTCCTTCCTCAGTGCATCGGGCAGAATCAGTTCCATTCAGATAAAACCTGCAAAAGGAAAATGTTGTTGTTGTTGTTGTTGTTGTTGTTGTTGTTGTTGTTGTTGTTAAGTGCTGTGGAGTCAGTTCCGACTCATAGCGACCTATACAGGGTTTCCGAGGCTGTAAATCTTTACGGGAGCAGAAAGCCTCATCTGTCTCCTGTGGAACTGCTGGTAGTTTCTAACTGCTGACCTTGAGGTTAGCAGCCCGATTCGTAACCACTACGCTACCAGAGCTCCTTAAAATGGAGCCCATTAAATAATAAAATAACCCATCAACAGCATCTCAGATATTTTTCCCCACTGAGCATTACTTCATGGTAGAAAAAGTGAAATCTTTTCCACCTTGTTGTTGTTGTTAAGTGCTGTTGAGTCGATTCTGACCCACAGCGACCCTGTATAGGGTTTCCAAGGAGCAGCTGGTGAGCTTGAACCACCGACCTTGCAGTTCAAACGACTTTGTAGTCAGATGCATTAGCCCACAGCGCCACACGTTTCCATCTTAGAACACAGTTTTTCTGAGAACCCAACAGTCTATCTCCTTTGAAAATGTAGCATTCTGCCCTTGAAGCCAAGTTTTTCAAGGTCATCTACCTTCAAATTCTCCAGTAAATTGATGCTTCAGATGAAAGGACTCATAATCCTCTTTTATAAAAGTATTTCTGAATCTCACATTCTAAACAATGAACATCAGTAAAAAGTAGCCCTAATGTGTGGTCATTGTGCTGTGGTCAGTATGACGGTGTCCTCTACTCATAAGGCAGATGAGATATGGGAACACCTCCAATTGCATCCTTGCTATGGGCACTGCATAATATTTTGTGAAGACTACAAATATTGTGCTTTCTTTTGAAACTTTTTATTGTGAATCAAGTGAAGGTTTGCCGACAAGATCATCGGTTTTTCAATCAACAAATCATACGCTTTATTTCATCTCAATGATTGCAATCCCCTCCATGCAACAATTGTCCTGCTTCCTCCCTGTGCTTCATATTTTCATCCCACCCACCTTCCCATCCCTTCTCAATTTTCTCCTTAAGTAAATATTGACTTTTTGATTTTGAATGGTTGACCATTCGATGTTGAGCATACCTAACTAGCTTTGTTGCCAACCCCGCCCACACACAATATATGTTGTTGTTATTGTTAAGTGCTGTCGAGTTGTTTCCGACTCATAGTGACCAAGAAGCAACCAGTGGATTTAAAACACCAAACTGTATTCGTTGGGTGCCAAGAGCATTGAGATTGAGTTCCTTTTCAGACCTGAGGGGTGGCCAAGGGCCATAATCTGGGGTTACATACCATGTTTCCTATCATTACACTTTAACTTCTCCACAGAATTCTCTTCTCTCTTCTGACTCAGTTAACTAACCTGACCTCATAAAATTCAAGCCCTGTTCCTAAAATATTTGATCACTTATGTCAAGAATTAAGGATCCCTATACAATGGTTCAAGGAGCTCTGGTAGCGTAGTGGTTATGAATCGGGCTGCGAACCGCAAGGTCAGCAGTTCGAAACTACCAGCTGGTCCACGGGAGAAAGATGAGGCTTTCTGCTCCTGTAAAGATTTACAGCCTTGGAAACCCTGTTCTGGGTCGCTAGGGGTTGGAACTGACTCGATGGCACTTAACAACAACAACAACATACAATGGTTCCGTATTTGACAGGTAACTGAAAGGTTGCCAGTTCAAACCCAGCGGTCGCTGTGCAGGGAAAAGACCTAGTGATATGCTCCGGTCAAGACTGAACCATATGGGGCAGTTCTACTCTGTCTTATGGGGTCGCTATGAATTGGAATCAACACCAAGGCACACAACAACCACAAATGCCAAGATTTGGCCCACAGCCAACCTATAGTACAGATTAAAGGTTAATTTGTTTTAGTTCATGACTGTAGAGATGTGTTTATATATA